TTGTGCGGAGTCGGTTTGGGCCACAAAGAAAAAGGTGTTCCCGCCTTGAGAGAAGATCATCGTAGCTTCTTCCATAAGGACGTTCATTCCAGCTTCAAATCCAGCAACAAATGCTTCCTCAATCTCTTCTAAAAGGCCTTCTCCCGCAATCATTGTTGAAACCAGAGGTCCAGTAAGCGTGCCATGCCCATACTCCAGTGTGCCGGACATTACGTTGACGATTACAACGCGAACCTGCAGCATTTCTCCGGCAGCTTCCAACTTTATCGTGGAAATATTTCATTCTTCCTCTGGAGCATCGCTTCCTTTGGCCTGGCCCAGCCCGTAGGCGCCAAGACTGTCTTTCTCATCGGGTGCCAGGTTGAGCCGGTTGCTTTTCTTTTTCTTTGTGGGAATTGTTGGCTTAGATTCTACGGGGCAGATTATATGGCAATGGAGTTATCGCCAAGTTGCGTGAAAACGCATGCGTGTGGCTTTTCAAAGGCTTTAAGGTGGGATTTGATAACGGTGTCAGCCTCAAATACAAAATAAGAGACAACTCAATCGCTCTGGTTGTTGAGCAAACCTCCTTTTTTAAGGGCAACGGTATCCAATGATGCATGAAGTGTGTGGTTAGAAATGTGAGAGAACGGTATTTTACGTCTTTTAGACTCATTTGCCGCTAATGACCCACATCTTTTTTTTTGGCGTCAAGTTTATCAAATATCATTGTTATTATTGTTTTTCTGATTTCATGGGGCGTAGTCAACATCAGTAATTAAAGAGAACGCGTCGTTAGTAGACGTCAAACGTTTCATTAAGTCCGTGACGGCACCCAGAATAACACAGATCATAAAAACAAAAAAACATTATCTTCGCTGCAGCAGCAAGCACCGTCTGATGGCAGCATTGTGCGCCTGTTCTTTCAGTAGAAATCTGAAGCCCGGTCCAATGAAAATTGCAGCTACGTTTGCCGCAGCTTTGCATCTTCAACAAAAATCCATGCGAATCGTTTCTTTCCGGGGCATTCCGAGAAGATAAAAATGCCAAACAAAACACCTGGACGAAGTGCTGTCGCCGCAACAACGGGTCTTAACTCATTTCCCTCCGACTTCCATCGGTGTCTCTGCACAACAGCCACGCAGAAAAAAAAGAGCGTCCGTTCCCATTGAGTGGGTGTGCAGAGGAGCCCATCTCCCTCGTTGGAAGGGCTGCGGCAAAACATCATAGGAAACCATCCCAGAGAGTCGCGTGCTGTAAAACAACTGCACTGAAAGAGAAGAAAAGAGGAAAAGTAAAAAGGCAATAATCCACAGGCCAGAAAATGATCAAATAATAAAACCAGCAAAAAAACAAAGCCAAAAATTTGTTCAAGGGGTATTTGTGCGTGGGAGAGAGCATCCTGGGAAGCATCCACGGGCCCTCGCTGCTGAGCAAATCTTTTCGGTTCCTCTTCAGGTGAAGCTATGCCTGGGAAAAGAGCCTTTCCGCCCCAAAGTGGAGGCTGAAGCAATATCACCAAAAAGAAAGACTTCTTTACGTCTCGACCACTTGCTGCGTAATTCAGAAAAGCAGCTCAAAAAGTTTTAAAAGCTCAAAAGAAAAAGATGCGTCTCTTTCCACTGTGGGAGTTGACTGGCTCGTGCAATGTCGGGGCTAAAACCGTGCTGTATCGTGCGGTCTCAAGCAAGGCTATTTTCTCCGCAATGACGAGGCACACAAATAAGCGACCGGTATTTAGAGAGACGCTGTGCAAAGAGAGAGTCATGCTCTGCATGCAGGGACCACAAAATCGGGGAATCCCACTTTCCTTGTGAAACCCACCACTGCGCGCGTCGGGAAATTCAACACAAAGAAGCGGGGCGTGGCCAATCGTGCAATGCTCCCTGGGAAGCCGCTCCATAGGGCAGGAAGGCCTGTTCCCCCGCCTGTCAACCGACAGAGGCAAAGAAAACGCGTCCTTTTTCGGTACACCGATGCGGACTGAGGCCCTCCAGAACGCGCATCCACGCCGTTCTCCCGCTCTTCCAATTACAGCTCTGCGCCATCTGTTTGGCGGCGGAACAGGGAATCCATTGATTATTCATTGAGAAAATGCATGTCGTGTCGGGGGCGTAAAATAGTGGTGGTGCCAGAGTGGACGACGCGGTGGTTTTCTCAATTCGAGTATTCGCCCGGGCTGCTGGCCTGATCCTAAAATTAACTAAAGAAGACAAACAAGATAGGGAGAGGAGGTAAACGGAGATGAAGTCAATTCGCCTCACTGTTTTCTCCAGGCATATATTTATATATTCGGACGGCCACCCTCGTGGCACTCCGCACTCTGTTGGGATTAGAAAAATCATTCCCTACGAAGTGGCAGGCTTTGGGGTCCTCCAACCAAATGGACACCGCCGCGAGGATAAGAATTGAAAAAGGTGGGTCGGATGGTAAAACCAAAATAAATAATTTCATCCCACCGTTGTTGGTTCCCCGGTTCCTTAAGTCGTACTCTTCGGAAAATTCATGAGAAAATAATCTTCTGGGCCACTGGCCGCATCCTCAAGTTATCTATAATAGAAAACAAACCAGATAGGAATAAGAAGGGGATGAATGGAACAAGAGTGGATTCACCATATCCTCCAAGTGTAAAAGCTAGGAAGTGTATATTTATATATCATCCGTTAGCCACTGTCGCGGCCCGCTCACTCTATTCGGATGGGATGTATATATATGTATATATTTATTTAGTTATTTATTTATTTATTTATTTATTTATTTCTTACGAAGTGGCAGACTTTGGGGTTCTTCCAACCAAAGGGACGCCGCCGCATGGTGGGAATCAAAGGAGGGTGGGTGGGAAGGCAAAATAAAAATAAGAGTTATCCAGCCGCCATCGCCTCCCTGCTCCCCTGAAGTCGTGTTCTTCCAAGAATTCATACGATAGAAAAGTGTCGTAAGGAGGAGCACTCCTTTTATCAGGATACATACACATTAATTAGGGCAGCCAGCCCTCCCACGATCATTGCTTCAAATGCTCCTAATGCTGAAGTAAAATCAAATAATCCTTGTACATATAGAAGACATATCTCAATATATATATATAATAAGAAAATAATATTAGTAATAAGCGTCATCTAAATCACTCTAATCACAGCACGCATTGGAGTGGGGAAAGTTCAGGGAATAGTGAGAATACAAAAATCATATTCATAAAATATAAGAAGCAGAGGCGATGCATCCCCTCCCACGCCCACAGAGCACAAACCCACTATATACATTAATAAGCTCTGAAAGCACTCACCTCACCGCCCCGCAAAACTCACTACTAAAGAAACGCGAAACCTCACAGAGACACAAAAAAAACCGCAAAAGAGGACAAAAAAAGCCACAAGCAAGGCCGCACCACGAGAAACGCACGGCTTCCCGACATCGAACCACAACGAGTGGTCTGCTGGTTTCTGTGCCTTGTTGCGGCTCACGCCGGACGAGCTGCGGCAGCGGGGTGTTTGGCTTTTGGCTAGGGGCACGGCATCGGTGTTGGAGGCGCTTGTGCTGCCGCCAGCCCCTTTGCAACGGCCCTCCGCGGGGGGGGAATGGCGTCCGCCGCCGCACGCAGACGAGCGCCCCGTAGCAAAAACCGTCGCCACATCAGCAGCATTGGCGCCGAGCGCCTGGGACTTTGCTGCCGAAGATCTTGCCGTAACGGAAGACACGGCCGGCAGTCCACAATTTACGGAAGGAGAGCAAGAGCCAAAAAAATGACGAGAATAACGAGAGGATTGGCGAGAGAAGTGTTGGGTTTTGTTGCTTTGGGAATTGGGTGGCGCAGCGTAATCTTGGCTTTGGCGTTATGACTGGGGCCCTTTACTTGTGTTTTTTGTTATTTTTTTTTTATTCCTGTTTTGTTTTTTTTTTTTTGTTTTTTTTTTTGAAACTGCATTGCTTTGCTGTATACCTTTATTTTCTAATCACAGTTTTTCATTGGATTCCATTTTTGTTGTTGTTGTTGTTTTTGTTCTTCTCTTGGGCAAAGTTTATCATCATAATGACTCTCTCAACCAGATGTAAGATGTTATGGGGCTCTACCGTCTCGTACTTTGAGAAAATCTTGGACAAGCCGAAGGATTTAATATTGGCCTATGAAAATATCCCTTCAACGGGCAAAAAGTACGGTGCAAAGGCTCCAATAAGTAATGGGACGTCGATTTATGAGAACGCTTGGCAGGGAAATAACAAAAATTATGATAATTTCCCCGGCTCCGGCGGTGTGTACCCTCAAGGGTATCTGCCACAAATACAGGGACAATATACACCCCCATATTGAGGATGTATACCTCTGATTTTGTTTTTATCATTATTTATTTATTTTTTTTTTTTATTATTGCTTTTTACCCATTTTGATCAATCTGTTTGGGGCTTTTATTTATTATTTTATTTCATGTGCATATTTTTTATAATTTTTTTTTTGCTTACTTTTTCTAAAATAAAAATGCTGTGAAGTTGTGTTGTGCCCGTTCAGCTGCGTATTTTGAGTTGTTTCTGCGTTCCTTTTCATTTTTTTTTTTTTTTTATGAACGCAAAAACCTTTGAATTTTCCCAATTTGTGACTTTTTCCCCTTTAAGTATTATATATATATATAATACTCTTTTTTACTGTGTAATTCGCTGATTTGTTTTGATTTTTCTCTTCTTTTTTGTGGGTATGGGGCGTATTTCTCTTGGGTCGGAGCAGAATGCAAAAGGTAAATGTCGCTTAGGCGTTTTTTTAATGTTGGCGCCACTGGAAAAAGGTGTGTTTTCTGCGTCGAACGAACACTTGATACTTGCCTCCTGCAGCGGTGTTTTGAATCAAAAAAACATGGAGTTGATAACGACCTGAGCACCCAGAAGCTAAATGAGAGCCATGCTGAGCGGCCCACCCCAGATGATATAACAGCAAGCCCATCAACGGTTTTGCGAGGTCTACAGCGCGAAAAAAAGCTTGTGACGAACAAAGTATCTCGTGACGAAGTTTCATTTTCACCTACTTGCCATGCTGGCAAGACAGGTCGAATGGATGATGCCTATACATCCAGTGGTGACTCCAACGGCACAAATCATTTGGATGGTGGTGCTCGAGTATCCACAGCGGGTAACCGATTTCTTCAGAAGCTATCGGAGCTAGAAAATTCTGCAGTACTCACTCCTCCAAGAAGCAGTGGGTTCTTAAAACTGCAAAAACGTGGAAGTGAGGAAAAGGTTTTGAGCGAGCGAAGGCGCATGCTTGTCTTCAGAGATGTTGGAATGGACTTGGACAAGCCAATCCTTTCGCGCGATGTGTTTCTCGTTTTCAAATACTTTCGTTACGGTATTGAATTTGCTGTGGATAACGAACTGGAGCGCATGTTACGATACTTTAACGAGCATGCGCTGAACGAACTTAAAATCATACAAAGCAGCAAGCTTATGCGTGGTCCTTCTGTGCTCAGCCGGAAAAAAAGTGTCTCGGCTCATGGTGGTGGGCCGTTTCAGTTGTCGCCGGCTTTTCCATTCATGCAGGCGGCCAATATGTGTCAGTTCTGTAGCTACACAAGAGAAACTGAGCAAATGGTAGCTGATCTTATGAGGCCAACTTCACCCCGTGCTTTTTTTTGCCGGGCAAAAGAAGATGCCACCGCGAACTTTGCGCCAAAAGCGCGTTACTTTTCTGAACAAGACCTTGCACAGATGACTTCCTTTTCTTCTTCAACCTTCCGGCGACCTGCCGTTGTAATTTATACCCAATTAGGACAGAAACTCGGGGCACAAGCAGATTTGGAGTGGCGTCGTTTGGCGTATAAGACAATTTGTCCATATCTGCTAAAGTGCCTTCCGACGGCCGATGCCAAGGGCGAGGGTCACGTCCATTCGACATGCGAGCAAAACACAGGAGGGCTCCGTTATCGTTCCAAAGAAGATTCAGTCACTTTGAGAAGGCACAGCATGCCATTTGATGTTGTTTCACTGCGTAGCATGGACGTTTACAAATATCGTTGGGTACACCGGCTGTATGTACGCCGTTTTGCCCAATCACTTGTTCCTCCTCCTTTTTCTTTGGAACACGCGGCAACTGATGCCCAAGTCAATGGGCTAATAACGGCATCAACCACATTTGTCGGTTGTAAGTTGCTTCAGCCTTTCTATTCTGTGTTGGGTCTGCGTAACTATCTGTCTCCACATGTAATGCTTATTGACCACGAAGGGAGGATTCGCTGGCTGACAGCAGGTTGCCCCGACGATTACGAGAGTGAGCACTTTCCGGCGTTACTAAAGCAACTTGAAGAGGAATATCATCACGCAAAGAGTCGCTGACTGTGTCCTATCTTTTTTATTTCTTTTTTTTTTTTTTTTTTGTTGTTGATTTTTGTTTGTTTGGGACATTATTTGACGTTGTTGCGCAAAACTTCGTGTATTATAGGGTTCAGAGGGAGCAGGAAGATAAATTTTATATATGCTTTTGCCTGGTGGGCCGTTTGGCAGGCGGTCATACGATATATTTACATAATGAGGTAATGAAACGGGGGCGATTACTTTTTTCCCACAGATGTATGCAGTTAATGACTTGTGTACACCTTTGAAAGAAGAGCCGGGTCGCCTCTCCTATTATTTTTTTTCTTTTATGCCTGCATCCTTTTTTTTGCTGCGAGCATTTGTTTGTCAGCAAATATTGTTTACATATGATGCATCCGTCGTGTGTGTCTTGAATGCCAGCTTTGCACTAAACCGGTGATTGATTTCCCTTTACCGTTCATTTTTTTCTGGAAAACTAGTTTGTGGTGGAGCTCGAGGTGAAATGGCTGGTGGCAATTGATGGCCGCGCATCGAAGTGCAAGAAGACTCAGTGGATTCCATTCGGCGGGTAAAACTGATATTTTAGAGGAAGCACGACCCATCTCCGAGTTGATGTTTTCGAAGGGGAAAATTGGAGAAGAGCGCTTCCCTGATGTGCGTGTAAGAGAAGTGAAAAAAATGGCATAGAAAGGGGTCATTAATGTGCACCGTTAGGAAAGAAGGGCGGTGCATCGCGCTGTGATTTTGTTTGTATTTGTGTATTTCTGCTCCTTTTTGGAAAGGGACTTTTGTATCCTTAGACCCTTCAGATAGCATTGTTCCTATTGTGTGGTTTGCATTAGTTCGAATTGTATGGCCAATATTGTGCACTATTCTCCCACCTTTTCTTTTTTTTTCGGCAGCAAGCCATATGAGTCAGTTAGTCGTTACTGAAGACCCATCCGTCGACAGCCGCTGCATTAAGACCAATGACGAGATTAATGACCCAAACGTGTCAGAGAATAACGGGCCTAAACTAGCTGAAGTGGGCTGCGCATACTGTGGTGAGGCCGACCCACATTCTCTTGTCATGTGTATCTCCTGCAAAAAGTGGTTTTGTAACGGTGGACATGGTACCAGCGGTTCACACATCGTATTGCACCTTGTGAAGAGCAAGCACCGTGCAGTACAGCTGCACGCGGAAAATCCTCTTGGTGACTCCGCACTGGAATGCTACATTTGTCGTTCGACCAACATCTTTTCGCTGGGGTTTATGCCATCCAAGGAGGAGTCAGTTGTCGTTCTGGTTTGTCGAGAGCCGTGCCTTCACTCCAAGGCACTGCGTGACCTAAACTGGGATGCCACCACATGGCTTCCTGTGATCGAGGAACGCCAGGTGCTTCCTTGGATTTGCAGGGTACCAAGCGCCCCTTGCAAAAAACTTACCTTGCACGACATCACAACGCTCGAATTGTTTTGGAACAGCGAGGGGCAGCAGGTTCTGGATAACGTGGAGAAAGCCCCAGCTGTCCCGCTTCGATTTGAGAATGCCGTTGAATATGTGACGGTGTTCTCAACGCTAATCGAAATGGACTCCATCGCTGCAAAAGAACGAAAAGAGTTGCTTTTTGAAGATATTTCTTGCAAACTACAAAAAGAATTTGGAGGGAAGCACCTTTTTCTGCTGAAACAGTTGCCACCTTCTGATGTGGGTCTCCGTTGCGGTGATCATGCTTCTATATGGGTCAAGGGGAGTTCGCGGTTGTTGAACGGCGTTGTCGTCGAAATTGGGAAGTCGCAGCTTGGCGAAGAGGAAGTTATTTTTGAGGTGAAGACTTATGAAATAGAACGAGCGAGAAGGGCGTTGAATGAGATTCTTGCCGCATCCACAGTGAGCTTCCGCCTCGAGTATGACTCCACCAGCGACCAGCGGAAGTGCCATGCTTTGAATCTGATGATGACGGATTGGTCCTCGCTTTCTGCATACCTTTACTTTACGATTCTTGGCCGGGCAGAGGAGGCGGCGAAGCGCTTTTCTGAGGTGGATATTAATCTCCCGAGGGGGCGACTATCAAACCTGAACTCCTCTCAGGATACTGCTGTGCGAACAGCATTGAGAAACCCACTGACGCTCATTCAAGGTCCGCCCGGCACAGGCAAGACATCGACCAGCGTTGCTATTGTTCTTGAGGTAAATCTTCGGATTCGGTCCCAAATTCTTGTTTGCGCCCCAAGCAATGTTGCCGTTGACCAACTGGCCGAGAGGATATCGGCAGCCGGCTTGAAAACGGTACGCCTGCATGCTCACTACCGTGAATTGGTGCCTAGCTCTGTCAAACACCTCGGCTTGGACAGTCAGGTGGAGGAGTTTATTGCTTCGAGCAGTGGCAACAGGCGATTGAGGCAGCTTCTTGAACTGAAGTTGGCGGGTGAAGTGTTGGATGAGCAGGAGCAAAAAATATATAATGATTCTGTAAGGGATATTGAAGAAGCGCTCCTTGGTGGTGCGGATGTGATCTGCTGCACCTGCATTGGAGCCGCGGATAGGCGGCTGGGGAAAATGCGCTTCCAGTACGTTCTGATCGACGAAGCAACACAAGGGACCGAGCCGGAAACACTTGTACCTCTGGTGCGTGGCGCGAAGCAAGTATTTTTGGTGGGTGATCATTGCCAGCTACGCCCTCTTGTTTTTTCACTTCCTGCGGAAAGGGCCGGACTTCGTCGTAGTTTGTTTGAACGACTGCTGATGACAGGCCACCGAGCAGTGAGACTTGATGTGCAGTACCGCATGCACCCGGCTTTGTCCCTGTTCCCATCCGACCAATTCTACGAGGGCACCCTGCAAAATGGTCTAACAGAAGAACAGCGCGATGCATCGCGGGTGTTTCCGTGGCCAGATCCCACGAGACCAATTTTTTTTTACAACACGACGGGGTCTGAGGAGCTAAGTGCGAACGGCAGCTCCTACCTGAATCGAGCCGAGGCTGCGCTAACTGAACGCATTATCACAAAACTCATACGGGATGGCAAAGTGAAGCCGGATGATATCGGAGTCATTACTCCGTACGGAGGTCAGTGCCGGTACGTGATGAATTATCTTGTGCGTTGCGGTCCTCTGCCGAGGACGGCTTATGAACGCGTTGAGGTTTCGTCTGTCGATGCTTTTCAGGGCCGAGAAAAGGAGTTCATTATTCTCTCATGCGTCCGTAGCAACCATCGCCAAGGGATAGGTTTTGTGGTTGACTGGAGGCGGCTCAACGTTTCCATAACTCGTGCAAAGCGGGGACTTATCATTATGGGAAACGTACAACTTCTCTCAAGGTATCCGGCGTGGCACGCTCTTCTTGCCCACCTGATGGAGCTGTCGCTTGTTGTGGACGGCCCGATCGAGAAGCTTGTTCCGTCAAAGGTGGTGTTACAGAAGCCAAGAAATGTAAGTGAGGAGCAATAAGTCGGGGGAAACATCTTTATGGGAACCCGCATGAAGACTTTCTTTTCTATGTTTCCTTTTTTTGGCTTCATTATTAAACGATTGCATCTTTTTTTCTTTTGCTTTTTAAACGTACAATGTGGACGACCCTGCACTGTTTTTTTTTTTTGTGTGTGTGTGTGTGAAATGGCGGTGAGAGATTCTTTTTAAGGACGCTTTCTTCACAAATTGTGGTGCTGCAACAGCGACGATAATCAAAAAAACTGCGGCCGATTGCCTCTTCCATCATTTGAGAAGTCATTACCAGAATGGGTAATGCTGTCGGGGAGCTTTTTGCCTCAGGTAGAAGACGCGGGTGCAGTGGACGGTTTTCCCCCTTCCCCTCTTATAAAACATTGCCTTATGGCATTTGAATCATGCACCTCCTAGAAAGGATATTATAGTGTCATTTGTTGTTTATTTGAAGCTTGAGACAAAATGTGGCTCGGGCACTCACAGACTGAGCATTTACGGTTTCAAACAGATTATGAGACGTGATTTATAGAAATGGGGCCGTGGATTGCCGGGAGCCATCAAAACAAATGAGCCGCTTTGAGTTGTCACACAGTTTTTACTGAGGTGAGCGAAATGCCTTGTGCTCGCGTACATATAGGATAGTTGTGTGTTTGGTGCGTGCACTAATTTAGGTAATAATAAACGAAAGATGTTTTATGTTGTTTCCATGTGCTTTGTTGTTGTTGTTTTTGCAGTTTTTCTGCTTTTGCTGCCGTGGGTACCGATGTGCGGCGTTGTCTGTCCACATTACTCTTCTTTTTTTCTTTTTTTTTTGTATTTTACTACCGTCTCTCCGGTGGTAAGGGTTGTAGGTTTGTTGTCTACAAGATGAGTCTCGTGCACCATTTTTTTCACGTTAAGGGGGGTGTAACGACGAATACGGTGAAAAATAATACCGGCAGCAGCGACTCTGGTACGGCCGCGGAGACCATTCACGTTGCCGTGCAGGGGTGCTGCCATGGAGAGCTGGACCGCATTTATGCCGCTTGCGCAGCGCATGAAAAGGCTACAGGGCGCCGAATCGAATTTCTTTTGTGTTGTGGAGACTTTCAAGCGGTCCGCGATGAGGTGGATCTGCGCAGCATGGCAGTGCCACAAAAGTACTGTGTGCTGGGCGACTTTTTGGCGTACCACCGGCGCGAGAAGCATGCGCCGTATCTCACACTTTTTGTGGGTGGCAACCACGAGGGTTCTGACTGGCTGGCGACAGAGTGCTACGGTGGATTTCTCGCGCCGAACATCTACTATATAGGACACTCCGGTGCTGTGATTGTGGATGATTGTGTTACTGTCGCTGGATTGAGCGGCATCTTCAAGGGACACGACTACGCGCGGCCGTATCCGGGCCGTCCATTCCATGCGTCGGAGGCGGCGAAGCGCTCCGCCTATCACGTAAGGCGCATTGAAGTGGAGAAGCTCAGGGCGTTCTCGCAGGCGTTGGAACGCATGCGGCAGCCAGCGAGTTCTTCGGTGACTGCATCCATGGCAGGGCCTGGCGCGTCACCCTCGCGATGCGCTGGGGAATTTCCACACATTGATCTGTTTCTCTCCCATGACTGGCCAGCGGGGATCACAAAGTACGGGGATGAGACGCAGCTGCTGCGCTACAAGCCTTTCTTTGAAGAAGACATTCGGCACGGTGTGCTGGGAAACCCGCATACGATGACGTTGCTTCGCGCTGTCAAGCCTCGGTACTGGCTGGCGGCACACCTCCACTGTCAGTTTGAGGCCACCATTCCGCACCATGACGTGGAAAATGATGCCGCTGCCGCCGGCGTTCCGCGGGCAACGAAGTTTCTCGCACTGGACAAGTGCTCCAAGGGGAAGGGTTTTATTGACTTCATTGACGTCCGCGTCAGCCGTGGTGCACACTTCACCACGGAGAAAAACAGGGAACGAACTGCGAGGGAGCAGGAACGTGTGGTGCACCATCCCCTGTGGCTAGAGGTGCTGCGAGAAACGCACGGCTTCCTGACATCGAACAGCAACGAGTGGTCTGCTGGTTCCTGTGCCTTGTTGCGGCTCACGCCGGACGAGCTGCGGCAGCGGGGTGTTTGGCTTTTGGCTAGGAGCACGGCATCGGTGTTGGAGGCGCTTGTGCTGCCGCCAGCCCCTTTGCAACGGCCCTCCGCGGGGGGGGAATGGCGCCCGCCGCCGCACGCACACGAGCGCCCTGTAGCAAGAACCGTCGCCACATCAGCAGCATTGGCGCCGAGCGCCTGGGACTTTGCTGCCGAAGATCTTGTCGTAACGGAAGACACGGCCGGCAGTCCACAATTTACGGAAGGAGAGCAAGAGCTAAAAAAATGACGAGAATAACGAGAGGATTGGCGAGAGAACTGTTGGTGGCGTTTGGCAGCTTTGATGGCTGCAGCTGTCAGGTTATCTGTTGACGCCAGTAGTGAAGATAAGGAATAAACCCCTTTTTGTTTGTGTGTGTCTGTGTATAAGTGTTTGGTTTTGTCGAGACTGGTAGGATGTGTAATGAAGCAAAGGGCATACATTATTTTGTGCGATTTCTTTTTGCTTTGTTGCTTGTTGCCTATTTTTGCCTGATTGGTATCTTTTATCTCTGGCGTCTCTTTTTACGATCCTGCAGCATATATATATATATATATATATAAGTGTATCTGGTACTGGAATGTGGAGTGGGCGAGAATACCAAAAGGAAGAATGGCTTCATTGGCTGTGTCTCTCCTCGTTTTTTTTTTTTTTTTTTTTTTTTTTGCTTTTTTTTTTTTTTTTGCCTCCTGTGTGTGTCTGTGTTTGTCTGCTATGGTTATTTGCCTCTGTTGTAACACATCTCCTTCTCAATCCGTTGTTGTTTTTGTTTTCTTTGTTTTTCCTCTGCACCCTGCCACATTTTAGGTAACGCCACTCTTGCAGATAAATTCTACACGTCTAATATTTCTTTGTGTACATTCTGCCACCACCACCATTCCTCCTCCTCCTCGCCGGGAAAAAAAAAAAAGGGAGAAAGGAAAAAAAGGGAAGGAAAACAAACAAACAAACAAACAAGCGGAAAAAAAAAAAAAAGGAAAAATTTATTGGGCAGAAAAGAACGAGAAGAAAGCGGAAGGAGAAAAAGAAATAAAAAAGTAAAGGGAATTCAAAGCGGAGAAACAAAAAAAGAAGAGAAGAAAATTTGAAAAGAAAAGGAAAAAAAATAAAAACATTTTTAAGCAACTCACTCACACATACACAGACAAAAAAAAAAAAAAACAGCGGAATTCCAAAGGCACACTTGTATTTTTAAACACCGACGACGAAGAATAGAAGTTAAACAAGAATATATACACATATATACATACATACATATTATATTAGGAGCGAGTGCGTCTGTCTGCCTCTGTGTGTGTGTGTGTGTATTGTTAGAGCCGACTGGGAGTAGGGGCGCGAAGTTTATTTTTGCAGCAGGCCCGCGAATACACAACAGGAGGTCCGTCAGTTTTAGGCGGTTATTTGCAGTCCGTGGCAGCAATCCGACACACACACACACACACAAACAGCCCCTTCCAGGCGGTGCCCAACTGAGTTGCGAGAAGGGGGGGAGAACCGGACCACTTTGAAGGGGGAAAAAATAAGAAAGAAAGGAGAACAGAAGGGAGGAAAAGTGGTGGGAAAAGTGCGGACGCATTACTGCCACATTGCCCATTTCTCAACCTTTTTTTCTTTCCTTTTTTTCCTCCTTCACTTGTCGTCGTCGTTTTGCCTTTTAGCGACCTCTTTCTCTTTTTTTTTTTAACTGCAATGCACGTGGCAGCCATGGTGTACAGAGAGTTTCAGCCCCGCTGGCGTGGGAACAACAGTACATCCGCAGGCAAATTTGACCGCGCCGTCGTTGAGCAAACGCGTGGGTGGAGGAGATCTTTCGCCCGCGGCCGCAGCATCCAAAGAGTGAACCGCATTGGCCCACCGCCGTGTTGTGAGCACGAATTGGACCCCCGTTCATTGTGCCCAGCCCCTGCAGGTACATATACGCACACGGAACGAGAGAAAAAGAGACTGAGAGAGACAGCGGGTCGACACGGCGTAAGAATATTTTTCTTGTTGTTGTTGTTTTGCCTTTTTTGGGGGGGGCGGCCGTGTTTTGTGTTTGACTCATACTTATCCTCTCTTCAGTTCATTTCCACACCTTCGTTGCTGCGGCCGTACTGTTCTCAGTAAGTGTGTGTGGACGTAACTTCAGCCTGAGAAGGAGAGAAAAATAGAGAGAGAGAGAGGCAGAAAAGGCGTGTATATTTATATACACATTTAAGCAGGCGGCAACAAAAAAAAAAAGAGGAGGGAACAGTTGACGAGAGCAAGAAGGAAAGAAAAGCGCAAGGGAGTAAATCAACGCCTCCGTTATTTAAAGGAGGCTTGGAGGTGAAAAAAGGAGATAGAAGGGAGAAAAGAGGAGAAATTCGATTTATTATTATTATTATTATTATTATTATTAAATATAAAACGCGGGGAGAAAATATGGACGGGCAAATGAACCCGCAGCAGAGCAGTGGCACGCGGCATTCGCCGTCGTTGCAGCAGAGCACTGCAAAGGCGGCAGGTAATCTTTCCGAGGGACTAGACATGTTTGACATTCAGTTGCAAAACGACTGTGCCAACGTACCGGGCTCCTTCATGGGCGGTCTTGGCGGGAATGCGGCCACGGTGGGTCTTTCACCCTCACCACCCGTGACGCTTTCAGCGGCCATGTTCTCGTCGATCGCCACCGCGACGCACGGTCTCGCCTCCACGATGAGCAACTCGCAGACGGCACGTCGCATGGTGCAGGAAGTGGCGCAGGTAATCCTCCGCTTCATCTCCACCCCCGACGAGCCGCAGCCGGAAAACTTGACGGATGAATACGGGCGCCAGTTGATTCTGCAATTTGCTGACGAACTGCAGCGATCGGCAGCAGCCCTTACGACGGGGATGACAAGTGGTGGGGGCGATGGGCGACTGACCATCGACAAGGAGGTTGTGCTGTCCCTCAAAAACGGTAGGGAGGGTTTGCCGCCGCCGGGGGCGGATGTGGCGCGTCCACACCACCCGTACACCGGTTACTTCAGCACAATGAACAGCTCTAGCCCGCGGCTGACGACACAACCGCTGTGGCGCGGCACCCCGCCAAACTTTTCGAACGGTCTCCACAGCAGCAACAGCGCCAGCGGCAACACAAACGCCACCACCACCGCCACCATCATTAACAACAACGGCAATGCACGTGGCAGCCATGGTGCTACAGAGAGTTTCAGCCCCGCTGGCGTGGGAACAACAGTACATCCGCAGGCAAATTTGACCACGCCGTCGTTGAGCAAACGCGTGGGTGGAGGAGACGTCTTTCGCCCGCGGCCGCAGCACCCAAAGAGTGGAAGCCGCACGCTCATGGCCCACCGCCGTGTTGTGACAAGCACGAAGAAGGTGCTCCGTTCGGCTAGCTCCGCCTTCTCTGAGTGCTCCGCGGGTGAGACGGGTGAGGTGAGCAGCTCCATGTCACGTACAACGGTTGGAACAAGCGCGTTGGCAAAGTAAACCCGCCACCACTACCACCACCAGAGGAGAACAGAAGGGAAAAAAAAAAGAAAAAGAAAAAAAAAAAAGAGAGCTATCTATGGAAGCCAACATAATACACCGCATTTTTTTTTTTTTTTTTTTTTTTGTGTGTGTGTGTCTGTATCCCGTTTTTGTTTTTTCTCCTTTTGTTTTTTTGTTTTTTTTCTGTATTTTTATTTATTTATTTATTTATTTATTTTGGCTTTTTTTGTGTGTTTGTGTGTGAAGAATAATAATAATAATAATAAAAGAATCCAAAAATGAAGAAAAAAAAAGAAAAAAAAAAGAATACAAACATACATATATACATACATATAATATATAAGAGGAAAAAAAGGAGAAAAACAAAAAAAAAAAAAAAAAAGAATTTTGGTGGGTGAGAGGTGCGGAAGAGGGGGAGAGAAGGAGGGGAAAAAACGGATGACACGGATAGCGAGAGAGCGAGAGAGAACAGAATGAGTCTTAGGTGAGACATGAGGACGTACTCTCCTGGCTGTACACACGCACCGACAGAGAAAAGGGAGAGGGGGAGAGGGTTACAACCAACTAGCAGCGATTGGTCACCATTTCCGATGTGGGCCCTTCTTTTTATTGCACTTTTCTTCTCTTCTTTTCTTTTTGTTGCTTTATGGGTCTTTTTTTTTTTTTTTTTTGTGTGTGTACCCTTTCTTCCTTTCTTTTATTTCTTTTTTATCCGCCTCATTCCACTGTACTTTTTTTTTTTTTTTATTTCCACCTGTTTTGCTTCGTCTTTTTTGCAGGCAAGTGCATGTTTCATATAAATATATATGTATCTGTTGTGTGTGTGTGGGTTCGTGCCTTCTTTTTATTATTATTGTTATTATTGTTATTATTATTAACCCGTTTTTCGGGATTATTCTTTATATACGTTTATATACGTTTATATATATATATATTTGTAGTATTTGTGTAACTTTAGCTTGGGAGAGAGATGCAATGGATGGATGGAACGGCAATGTACGTAAGTAACGGGGATGCGGTGCGGCAGGGGGGGAGGAGGGGAACTGAACGGTGTGGATTGATGTGAGATTACCGGAGCGTACATGGACAGAGGAGGAGGAGGAGAAGAAGAAAAAAAGAATCAAAAAAATTATAGTTATTAATAATAATATTAATAATTGGTAGTATTATTGAGCATCTACCTCTGTCTGTATGTATGTATGTATTTCTCTCTGTGTGTGGGGGAGGGGTATCAATGAACACACACACACACACACACACACAGAGAGAGAGAGACGCCAATGTCATGGATATTTTCTCTTTTTCTTCTTTTTTCTTTCTTTTTTGTTTTGTTTTGATGTTTTGCTCCTTGTGGTTCCACTGTTCACTGTGACCTCCGCCTTCACTGATCTCATCTTTATTTTAGTTACGGCCATTGTCCATGCGGAAATGGTGTTCTTATGTGTGCATGTATGTATGTATGTGTGGAGAGGGGCATTTGTTTTGTGTTTTGTGTTTTGCCGCCCCACCACTGCCACGGTTGTGTGATGTCATATTTACCCGCTTTTATTTTGGCACGATGTCTGTTCCCACCACCACCCCGCTTCCACATGTACCCGTATATCTTTTGTTGTTCTTTTTCCATACATATGCAATGCATGTATCAAACACACAAAGAGGGAGAGGGAGAGGGTGTGTGTGTGTGGCAGAAGAGGAAGAAGGGAAGAAGAAAGAAATAAAATGGGAAGATGGAGGATGGAGGGAGGTTTATAAAACTTCCTCCCCCAACTTCCTCCTCCAAAAACTTATATACGTGCGCATATATATATATATGTAAATATGTGCATGTATAGGCTGAACTGCCATGGCATTTGCGGAGGAGACGGAAGAAGAAAAAAAAAAAAATTGTGTTTGTAGACTTATTCTCTTAGGCTTTTGTTTGTTTGTTTTTATGTCTCTTTCTGCTTTTTCTTTTTTTTTTCTTGTTGTTTGTGTTTGTGTTTGTGTTTCTGTCATATTTTGCTTTATGTTGCTGTTTGTCTCACACCGCCGTTGTTGTTTTTTTTTTTTTTTTTTTTTTTTTTCTGCAATCTCCATCGTTATTGTTATTTTGATTGGGGGGAATACCGCCCTGTTGTACAGACATGCCTGCGCATACATGTATCCACACATACACACTTGTGTGTGTGTTTCCGTGTCCGTGTGTGTGGATTTGTTTTCAGCGATGTTTTTTCTTTTTTTTTTTTTTTTTTTTTTCTTATCTTTTCTTTTCTTTTTTGTTTTTTCGGTCCTCCTCTCAACGCCCTCCGCCTCTCATTGCGTTCGGGCCCTGACCGCACACACACACACACACGGCGCTGCCGCCACATGGAGAGCCATAAAGAGAGGGAGAAAGAGGGAGGATTGGGAAAAGGGCGGCCGGTAGTGTTGGATGCAAAAAAAAAAAAAAAAAAAAAAAAAAGAGCGGGGGGATGGAGAGGGACCAGAGACGAAAGAGAGAAGGAAACAAAATAAAAAAAAAAATTTAAAAAAAAGGGGGAAAAAAAAAGAAAGAAAGAAAAAAAAAAAAAGGAGATGTTGACTTAAATTCTTTTGTTTTCTTGTTTTTTGTTTTTTTTTTTGTATGTTTCTTTTTCCATTGTTTATTCTTCTGCTTTTTTTTTTTGTGTGTGTGTGTGAGAGAAGTGGTTTTGCGTGCCGCAGAAAAAAAAAAAAAAAAAAAAAGAGAGAGAGAGAGAGACAGGGCGAATGTGAGCGATGCCACGCAAGGGTAACCCCTCTTCTCCCGCTAGCACAAACAAACAGACAAACAGACAAAAGAAAAGAAAAAAGAAAAAACTCTCCCTGCGAGCTGGATTTTTATACTTTGTGCAAACAAAAAATCAAAAAAAAATGTTCCAGGACGGCGAGGAATAAATGAATGAATCAGAAATGAATGAGTATGAATGAATGAATGCACGTAGGGGGTGGATGGGGCCTGTCGCACCGGCGACGGGTCAGGATGCGCCCGTGCGGCTGAATGTGTTGTTGGGTATGCAAATGTACCGTCCGCCTCCCTTCACACCATTTATGCTTCTTTTCTTTTCTTTTCTTGCCTGTCCTTTTCTGTGTGTGTGTGTGTGTGTCTGCTGCCTCGCTTCCTCCATTCCTGCAGTAGAGGGGAGGAGGGGGAGGAAAATGTCGTCTATAGCGAAAAGGATGCTGGAGCGTCACGGCTGGAAGGAAGGCATGGGACTTGGCAAGAACGCGCAGGGCGTGTCAACGTACGTAAAGGTGGTGCGCCGCGACCCACACACCACCACAGGCCTCGGACACGCCGCGGATGCCACACAAGCGCCGCAGGCCTCAACGTTCTCCGTGGAACTGGACGCCGTGTACGCGGACATGTCAAGGACAGGGAAGAAGAAGGAAGAAGAGGCAGACAGGGGCGGCGGTGTCAATCGATGTCGAGGCGGAGGTGAAAAGCCCCAAAGAAGTGAAGAGGGAAAAGAGGGGACGGCAGCACAGCACAGGGAGCTGCAATAGCGGCAGAATTAGCGACGGTAATGATGATCGTTGTGATCGTGGTGGCTCTTCCAGTGACGACGGGAGCAGCAGCGATGACGAAATCCACGTGGACATTACACGACTAAAGGACGATGAACTTCTTCGTCGCTGCGGCGGGGTGCGGTTGGGCCGTACCGGTCGTCATCGCTTCTTTGACGGTAAACTTCGCCGCATTGAGAATTCCCAACGCGAAGAGCGACGGGATGGAATTTGATAGGCCGACGGAAACCCCTTTTCAACAATATGCGAAACGAGGGGAGGAAAAGAAGGAAAGGAAATAAAGGTGTATATGTGTGTGGCAAGGGTGGAGGAAGAAGAAGAGGAAAAAGTGATGGAAGAAATGAAAAAATGAATAAACGGAATAACACTGCAACCACACACGTGTCATGTGCGCTTAAATTACAAAGGGGGAAGGAATAAATTGCGAGTGGGGAGGAGGGGGTGATGAGTTCCTGTTTTGTGAATCATCTGCTGATTTGTTGCTTTTGTTTTTTTTTTTGTGTGTGTTGTTCATGTCACTTGTCTTTCTTTATTTCTTTATTTTTCTCTGGCTGTAGGTGGCAGTGATGTCTTCCTTCCAGCTTTTTTCGAGGACCTGTTGTTGTTTATTTTTTGCTGCACCAACGGTGAAAATGGCAATGCGTCGCGCTGTTCTCCTTTGCAGTCCTCTTTCGCCACCGTTCTCCTCCTCCTCCTCATCGTCGTCGTCATCATCGGCCGCTGCCTTCTTCAACGGTCGGTCGGCGACGGTGGAGGAACAGAAGCAGACGTCCGACGGAGGGAGGGATGTGGATTTGGCACTTCGGCTCCAGGATCAGTTAGCAAAGATCAGTGAAAAGGTCGCACATGACAATGACGTTATTCGGCAGCAGGCAACAGCCTTCGCTATGCTGCAGCGACAGCAGGTCGTGCTCGAAAGGCGTGTAGTTGCAGTGGAAGAAGAGACGGTGCAAATGCAGCAAAAAATTGCCGAGACGACGCGTGTGGCCTCCGATGTTGTCTTGCAGCATCGTAACGTGGAGGCTCTGGTGCGGCAGATGGAGAAACTCGTGCTTAGTCACGCATCCTCCCCGAAGAATACGAAGTCCTCTAGCGGCATTGCGTCCCAAGCAGAGGAGGCGAAGTCCAATGCCTTGGGTGTCAGCACGAACCCCAAACTAATGACAACCCCTTCATACACGTCACCTTCTTTTCCCTCTTCCGCCTCTTCCATGGGGAACTCCGCTGTTGCGGGGATGGGAGCACAGATCTCCGCCCTCAGCACCCGTCTGGAGGCGTTGCAGGCCCGCATCGAACAGCTCACCTTGGAAAATCTGGTCCTGAACAATGTTCAGTTGCACGCCCAGAAATTGCAGAAGGACCAACAACAACAGCAGAGCCTGGTGGAGGAGGCTGTGTCTCGGGTAGCAGCGGCAGCAGAAGAAGAATGTGGAGGAGGGAGTGGCACTGGCAGTGGTACAGTCCCGACAGGACACTCCACGAAGTCTCTTGCGACGCTGCTGCGTAACACTGGAGCGTTTCCCTTTAAGGACAGCACCGGGGCTACGCGCGTCAGCAGCCAAAAAGTCCTTGTTCGCGGGGTGCCTGTAAACTTTGGGGCCTCCGAAGTTCGTGATTTGTTTTCTTGCGTCGGAAGTGTCGTCTCGTGTGTGGTGCGGCGAATGCCTGTTGCACCGGTAGCGACGAAAGCGAGGCCGCATGTCTCCCGTTACCGCTCGCAGCAAAAGCAGCAGGAGGAGAAAGAAGCATGTGAAGGGGAGACGACGGATGGCCCCACGAGTGGCGGTTCCGCGGCCAATTTCACGACTTCTACCGCGGAAGAAAACGAGAGAGTTTTTGAAGTGACGTACCAGAAGGTGGAGGAGGCGGTGCGGGCGATTTTGCAGCTGGACGAGCACCAACTGCATGGGAAGCACATTCTATCGGTAGAGCCGGTCGTCTCGGCTGACATTGTCGCGGCAATGCAGCACTTGGAGCGGGAGTTGAATCGGCGGTGATGGGCCGCCTTATTTCTGCCTCTGAAAAAGAACATGTGAGTGCGCGTGGAGGCGGGAAGGGAGATTTATGGCCACGGAGACTCCCACCGTCGCTGCAGGGCCGCTCCTCCTGCGAATAGGACAATTTTAAATACCGTTTCTAACTAACAAACTAAACAAAAAAAGGAAAAAAAAAAAAAAACTAAGAAAAATTTGTTTCCGAGCTTCAATTACCAAAAGGCTTATGTTTTGTCATGCGTATTGTTGCGGAAGTTGGTCTGATGAGTCTCACCCACTCACACGTAAATACATACATACATAAATACACACACTCTCTCTCTTGCTCTGTGTTTTTATGGGTGGGAGAAGGGCGGTGAAGATTTTGGTATGGGACGCTTTTTTCCTCTTTTTTTATTCTCTTTTTTTCTTTTTTTTTTTTTTTTTTTTTTGCGCCGAATGAAGTTTAGTGCTAGTTCTGGTTAAGCGGGGATTCAGCGGCTGCTGGGTGGCATCAAGGAACACACATACAAGTATATATATATATATACATACATACATACAGCACTCTTGTTCATTTTCTCCGTCCGGTCACGGCGATACACGCCCAGGAAGCATGGGAAAGAAAACGAGCAAAGCTGCAGAAAACATCAAAGTTCTTGTCCGTTGTCGCCCGTTAAATGAGAAGGAGGAGTTACAGGGCTACAAGTCCTGCGTGGACGTGGACCTCACCGAGCACACGGTGACCGTGAAGAGTCTCGTGGGTGAGCCTGACCGGTGGACCTTTGATGCAGTCATCAACAACACGTTCAGTCAACGTGACATCTTCACGCAGTTTATTAGGCCCCTGGTGGACTCCGTTCTGGAGGGCTACAATGCCACCGTCTTCGCATATGGACAGTCCGGGTCTGGCAAAACGCACACCATGAGCGGAAAAATCGGAGATGCCGAGTTGCAGGGAATTACACCGCGTTGTTTTGCCCACGTCTTTGAGCGCATTGCCGAAATTAAGGAGGCATCTCCCAACAAACAGTTCTCCATGTATGTCTCCTTCGTTGAACTCTACAACGGTAAGGTGCAGGACTTGCTGGCGCGGCAACAGGTCCCGCTCGCGCTGAAGGAAAATAA